ATAATAATTTACATATAAACTGCGTTATATGTATATGAGCTATCATTGCCTGCCTCAAATTTAAAGTAAGGAACATAGCAATTTTGTACTTTTTCTATTTCTCTTTGTCATCCTTCCATAAGATTCTCTATTTTTTGCGGGATCGTGTTTGTTTCAAAGTAGAGTGTCACAGTTGTTACAAAACCGAGGTGTCTTCAGATTATTTAGTTCTGCCGTCATTCGACTTTATGTTTGTCGATATTTGAGATTTTATCTCTGTGAAAGTGTAACGCATTTGTATTGTCGGTACACAAAGACTTCTTTCAGCATATCCTGTAAATTTCGCGCACGTTTCTGGCGCGTCTATAATCCGCGGGTGAATTTGCGGCACGTGGTCGATGCGAAGCATTAATAATGCCGGTTGTTGCGGCCGGCCGGATAAATATAGTTACTACTGGCCGTGGCGAAACTGCTGCACGCAATCGGCTAGCATTCAGACTTCGGTTCTCGAGTTGTTTTGCGTTTCAAAATGCACCGAGTTTACTTTGTCAGCGGAAAAACGGCGGGGTGAGCGCGCGGAATAACGAACCGGCTCCGCGAACGTCTCTCTCTGCTTTCATTGCAAACATTTATTCGTATCGGCATTATTTATACGATCCGTTTTGACAAAAGTTAAAGCACCGACCGACGATACCGGCGCTGCCGGTGAGATTGCATTTCGTTCGCAGAAATCACGTATATTTCGCGTATTTTCATCGGCGGCTGCATATCTCGCAATTACAGGAGACGTTAGATATTACGGTTACACCATTTTTCTCAAAGTCTATTTTTGTAAACACATCCCTTTTTGGTTTTACGCGAAACTCGTACCAATCGGAATCTTGATTAGAAGTTGCATCACGTTGTAAATTCGATACATTTGTTCGTTTTATTGGTAGTAATTTGTAATGCGCCATATTTCTATATTAGCATTTCCACATTATATAGTTTCACATTATATAGTTTCATTTGTAACCATGTTTGTAACCATATGAACTAGATTTATTTATGCTAATATTTATGCATATTGGATACCGCCACGAAATTCTAATTTAACTAAAACACAACGGAGCATGAGCGTTATGGGAATATTGATTCAGAAATATAATTTATATTATGCTCTATATTCTATCGTCAGAAACGTATTCCTATTATAACACGACATTATAACACAACATTTCCGATTATAACACGATTTATATTATACTGTATATTTTATTGTCAGAAACGATACGACATACCTCATTGAAATATAGCTTTGTTAAGCTACATTTAATTTCATTATAAATTGACTTCATATGATACATATGGGTTATTCACGGCATTGCAATCATGAATTTATAGAAAATGCATTGTAATATTTTCAATTTTGAATTAATTGTGTGTGTGTGAATAAAGTATGCTGATATCAGAGGATTGAAATGTATTAATTAACATTTGCTAAACTATACTGCTAAAAGATATATATAGAAATAAAATCTTTTTTATTTAAAATATTATATCTTTATAAATAGTAACACAAAAATATTAGAAATTGTTGAATCAGAACTATATATTCTTTTTATCTTAATTTTTTTCTATATTATTAAAATATTATAATAAATAAACCAAAAGAATAAAAAAATATTTTTTATTGACTTTAATTTTAATAAATTTTTATTTTTCATTATATATTTCTCATTTAATTAATATGATAGCAGTTATGGATATTAATTTATTAACAAATAACTTATCGATAATTTCATTATATTCTTATCGCTGCCAACTGTACCTTTAATTTGACAACTTTAAAGTGTTTTCGTTATATAATTATTTATATGCAAATTGAATTTAATTTAAATTGAATTTAAATTAATATACAGATGATATATGATCACGTTAAAATTGAATATATAGAAGTCTATGAAAATACTATTAATGAGTATAATGAATAAGACAATATCGTGTTATAATAGAAATACGTTTTACAGGTACTATAATGTTACGCAGTCGAATAGCAAGCTTCATTTAGTATTCTTATTTGCATTGAAATGTCTGTCGCGAGTCTGCATTTCCATTTATCGAAAAGAAATCGAACTTTCAAATAGAGAAAGAGAGAGAGAGAAAGAGTGAGAGAGAGAGCCAGAGAGAGAGAGAGAGAGAGAGAGAGAGAGAGAGAGAAGAGAGTGAGTGAGTGTTCCATCGTTGCCAGCTTCCGCGTTGTCCTTTCATCGTCGAGAATTTAATCGAAATTCGATCAGTTCTACTTCGCGATGTACTATTTCGCAAAATATTTCTGGATATAATGGCGCTATTCGGCGCTACTCGGCGGAAGATAGCAACAGAGAATGAATAGCAGTAGTGTCCCTATATATTCCTTACATCTAATCAGAATCGATCACTTTGCTTTTCATGCGAATCAACGAAATAATAGTTCGAAATACACAACATTTACAAATTATTTATCAATATAAATAAATCTTTAAAAATAATTTTAGAATAACAAATAAGTTTAGAATTTAAGATCATTGAGTGATCATTATTATTATTATTATTATTATTATTATTATTATTATTATTATTATTATTGTTATTTGAATTTTTTATTCTTTGGATATTTGTATCGATTTCTGAGTTTGTTGAATAATGATTAAATTTTATTACCTTCTTATGTGTGTTTTAAATTATTATGATTTTTCAGCATCGTTGAGATTACGAAGATTATAATGATAATAATAATCTATATTTTCTGAAAATTTAATAGCCTTATCACGACAATTTGTATGACGAGGTTATAGGGTTAAGATTTCGTCTATGAAGCAGATTGATCTCTCTTGATATTTTCACGTTACGCTTATGATCCACTTTCACAGGCACAGTAACTTTAAGAGGCATTATGGAACAGACGTACTATGTAATGGAGCCAATAAAGCAATATTGACTGACTGTGATGTGATTAATTATGATGAATGAGTCGTCTGAGTAATAGTGCAATTCCGTTTCGCTACGAACTTCTCACCATTAGTGATATTCGTGGATGTAAAAGAAAATATATTTTGTCTCACGTAATCGGCTGGATAATTATTTGATGATTTTTAATTTTAAAAATGTTCCGAAAAATTAAAAATATATTAGAAGATAAAATTAGGTTAGTTCAAATTAAAATTTTTTTAAACAATATTGATTCTATAATAAAACGTTTACAAATAATAAATTCTTTACATGTTATTTTAAATATGTGATTTTACTTTATTTTATTGAATATTGAAATCCATTTGTCTATTTACTCAATTAAATATAAATTGATCTTTGTTATAATTACACAGATTCCAATAAATTTATAGATATTTTCGTATATTTTTAAAATTTTATAATTCTTTTGTGTAAATTGTGCTTGTGTCCTACCGCTTTGGAGGCTTCGAAAGCTTTGAGATCTGTCGAAGCCACTGATGAAATAAACGCGTCATGCAAATTTGCCGCATATATACCATCGCGGTTTTTAGAACATTTCGGCACGTAGACCTAAATATTTCACACCTCGCTCGCGGTTAGGTAATCTTGAATATCGATATTCACCACGTTTGGGCCTCGGTATATCTTTCGTAGCGTGAATATTCATGTTTCCACATACGTATACGTAACGTCTAGTCGTAACGGCGTCAATTTATAGATTTCGCTGCACGGGATTCAATATACAGAGCGCGAAATAGCTACGTATCTTTTATTGCAAATATCGCAACTATCCATATAATCGAGAATAATAATAGTCGTAAAAAGAATGAAATAAAACGTTAGATCAATCGATGGAATGTAATTCTTGATAATATATTTAACTTCTTTTTTATTAACGTTGTTAGAATTAACGTTATTATTGGAATACATAAATTTAACAGAATTTACTTTAAATATGTATATCGTACTCAAGATTATTAAAAAAACCTATTTCTACGTGGAATAATATAGATAATAATATGATTTGTTTTACTCCAAAAATTGTGCAGAAAAATTTATTTTAGAAAATATCAAATTGCTTCATTATTTTTAATTCTTATATATCTAAGATATTAAAAAAATTTCAAGAATTTGATACGTGGCATTCACAATATCATTTTTCACAAGATTCTTAATATTTCATCAAATACCTTTTTTCTTTTATCTTTATCTATTAGTTATAGTCAATTGTTGCAATTAAATTATTGTTTACATTAATTGCTGCTTGTGATCGTCATTCTTTTCTTGAGGTGAGCAATTGAATGGAGCAAATAACTCTCGAATGGAACATCACATACCGATTTTCTCGAAGAATACGATCCTAATTCTTAAGAGTTCCCTCTTCCACGGGTGACTCGGAATTTCGGTGTCGCTTTTTCTTTTCGTTCGCTACGTATGCCGACACCATTTCCGCGCCATTATCGCGCCCGTTTTCACAGTGTGGTTCTCTCTTCTCGCTTTTTCCAGTATCCCGTAAGTACTCCCTTCTCCTTTCCCTACCCGTCCTTTCTCTAACCCCCAGGTTGGCATGGTTTTTCCACGCTTATCTACGCGGCACTTATTTGCCGGGGCTATCTGGAAATTTAACGCCTGCGCCCTCGCCAGGAAGATCACCGCCATTCCGACACCCACCCACCATGCTCATTCGAAACTATCTCTCACGTTTCCTGACCTCTCCGCACACACGTATAGACAAACACACGTACGCTATCCACGCACTCGTCGCTTTTCCGACGCGACGGCAGAAAATTCTGACCGGACATTATCCTCGCACACCTCTCTGTTATGGACCTTGTTACCTCACATTGTTGTAGATACGCGGATACTTGTGCTAGCTATGAGCTACATAGAATTCTATTACGATGGAATTTCCGCGCAATTTTTTTGTATTCGTAAAAATGGAATTCCTTTTTTTTTTTTAAAGTGGAAGAATTTAAGTTATGTGTCGAACAATTTAGTTTTTAAATAGACACATGATATCTTTCAAGATAAAGTAAAATAAGTGAAGTTTGTACAATATTGATTTTCAATATATAAACTGTAAAATTAATTCTATTATGCATTTAATTATATTGGTCAAAGATTAGAATGTGTGCGTTAAGTCCTTTGTAAAAATAGTGAATTTAATTTTTGCTATACGTAATAATTAATGATACTTTGTTACGCATCTAATCATGTTGCATAAATACGATTTGCAGCATTAAAAGTTTATTTGTAAGTAATAATATTGATGGAAACCGGGACCATTTTCTTACGAAAATGATACAAAGTGAAGAGTCTCGAGAAAGATCATTTCGTTTCACATGAAGTCTTGTGAAGGTCTCGTTTCGCTTTGACAATTTTCGTTTTCGCGACACTTCTATACACTTCCGCTGTCGCCGTGCCGCAGCATTGTCCGCGCGAAAAAGAGAATGAGCCTTAAGCCTAAAGAGACGCTGCCTTGGAACGTTGTTTTAAAGCTTACAGATTAGCTCGACGAAAAATCATTTAGAGCGCGCCGCGCGCATCGAATCACTTCTCCTTTCGGATAAAACCTCTCTCCTTTCTTCCTTTCATCGATGTACTGGATCAGGAAGGAAAGGGCCGTCGCGTATTACAGAACGCACTACTAGCAGTCATCCTGAGTCGAGGACGATTGTAGAAGCGCTGCCACTCGTTCCGAAAAGTCGCCCGAAGCTGCACCCGAACACTGAAAGTACAAAGCATCGATACATTAATATAAGACTTTAAATAATCTTTTTAGGCTTGCAATTAATTTTATTACGTGATGTAATGAAAAAAGAAATTTTTAAGTTAAACAAAATTATCATTTTTCAAATGTTGTTAAAATGTTGCCTCCAATCTTATCTCTTTTAAGCGTTTTATTTAAAAAAGCCTCTTATGTATAAACAATAGAAGAATTAAAAAATATTACTTTTTTTTTGAAAATTTAATAACGTTAATTGTAATATGATTCCTTATTATTTTTATAAAAATGTTTAAAAATGTTTTAGTTTATTGTTAAAATAAAATTTCTTGTCTTTTTTTACGCTGAACAATCAAAGACGATATCTATGATAATCAAAATTATATTTACGAGGATAAAATTAGGCAATAAATGTTGCGCCTCTTTTGTTTTTCTCTTTTTTCTTATTCTTTTGTTATATCATTATAATATCTAATATGTTCGCTTAGGATTGAAATTAAGAAATGCACCCGCGAATAAGTATCATGATACCATTTTCTATTATGATACTGTTATTGTATCTTTTTCTATCTTTTCACGTTGTATGCGTATGTGTATATGTATCATATATATAAGTAACGCATTTGTAATGATATTGGCTCTATAACTTATATCGCAAATAAAAATAAAATAATATTTTTTTATGATACTTTGTGTTTAATAGATTTAGTTACAATTAATTTTTTTTAATATCATTGATGATAAGTTATTTTATTAAGCATATTTTAATGATTATATATAAAAAGAACATTTTTACTGGAAGAATCAAACTTTTACTTATCTAAAAATTCGACCAAAAATACAGATCTGAAAATAATTTTATCGGTCACCGAAATATTTATATAGAATGTCTAAATTAGTTGCTAGAATATCAGAAATTTTTGCAATATTCATTACGCTTAAATGTCCTACATAATTTTAATGTCTTAACAAAATCATTTTCAGATCTATTCGGTCAAATTTTTCAGTAAAGTATTTCCTTCCAATCATTTGTGTAATTTTTTTCAGTATTAATTTTCAATAATCTTTTAAAATCATGCAAAGATAGAAATAGAAAAATTCAATCAATTAAAATAATTGATTTTGAAATTTCTTGCCAATGAATACGATTGTCTTACTTTAAAACGTGAAAAATAAAAAACTAGCAACAATGGGATAAAAAACTGGAAAACATCCGACACTCTGGTGGAAATTCGAAGGGTTGCACGTGGTTAAATTGTAGCTAGCGCGCATTCGCCACATTTTCTCATGGGAAGTAGTGGCAGCTTGAAACTTTAATGTTGTCTGATGCCAGAGGTGGTGATGAGATCAAGTCGATTCACTATCCTTCTTTTCAGATGATAATGTTTACTTCGACAATACATTATTTTTTATAAATATACGTATAATA